AAAGTTACCCTCCTTATTCCATATAACAATGACTACTAGCTCTCCTTGATCTGGAAGCAGATCTTTGAGCTCTGAAAATCTGATTCTGGTTTCTTCTGTAGTACTGCAGATGGTTGTCCCCTTGTGTAAGTGTGTATCAGAGTCTGTTTCTTGGTATTAGAATTGATCAGAATTATTATCTGATCACCATCTAGTAGGTTCTTAACTTTGCTGGAAGTTAGAGTATCAAACAGTCTTTCAAGCAATAAGTCACATGTTGAGTTAGCTAATACATGTACTTGTCAGTATATGGTTATCTCTCTAAACAAGAAGGCCACATTTTCCACTAGCTCTAAGAACTTTTCTACTCCTCTATTTGCACTTGCCATTAGAATGTATATATCTAGATCATATTCCTATCTCATCTGCTTATCCAGGTTAGCCAAACATAATATGATTTATAACCCAGAGTTGCAGAGACATTTTAATTTCTTTTTTTCAGAGACTAAGAGATACACTGACCTTAGAGTCTGTGAAGAAGATGCAACAATCACTACTGTTTTGGCCTTCTCTCCTTCTAGAATAGTTTCCAGGTACTGGACTACTGGATCATTAATAATAGTGGATCCTTCCAGGATAAGACTATATTGCATGGTAGTGATATAAAAGTTGCACTCAGCTCCTAGATCCTTGATCCAGATATAGTTCTCCAGATTTGGTTTCAAAATATTGGCTATTATCTCCAAAGATACTCTGTTTCCTGCTGATTCATCATCATCATCTTCAGCATCAGTGATGTCCTCCAAAAATACTTTCTTGGTTGGGACTTGCTTTGGCATGACATAGGTCTTCATCTTTTGCCTAGCATCTGGTGAAGATGCTAGCCAATATTTAGCAGTAAGATGATGAGAGCCTTCATCATTTGGTCTCAGACTTCCTTCTCTAAGTTGCCAGACTGAGCCTTAACCTTCTTCTTATAGATAAGTTCCTTTCTTACTTCACCTGGTGAGGTGGAGAATTTCTCCATGCATTCTTGAGAGGAGAGCAATATCACATCAGATACCTTAGCATATGGGTTCTCCAGCTTCTGGTGATCATCATTCTCTATGGTTGAAAATACCAGGAGATGGGATCAAGGCTGTTCAACCATGCCATGATTGCTAGAGACAAAGTTCTCATCATTATTACTATTGTTACTAGAGGTGTATTTGCTTTGCAATTTAGAGCATGATCACCAGTTCTCTACTTTTATGCTTTGCTTTTGGTTTGCATTAATATCCTCTGGTGTAGAGTCACTTGCCCCAGTCACCACTGCTAGTCTTTTCAAGTGCTTCTCTACCTTCATTGGATGTTTACAAAAAATCCTTGGTATCTTGTGAAGGATCACTAATCTGACTAGCCTCATATCATTGTTCATCTCAGGTTTTTACAATAGATTCCCAGTGCAGTCCCTCCAAGTACTGATCAACTTTCTCCAGTGCTCTGGGCAAAGTCTGTTATACCAACTTCTTGAGCATATTTCTCAAGTAGCTGATATCTTGCTTCTCTTTCACTATCTAATGTGACATAATGTACTGAGGCACCAGGCCTGATAATTGCAGAGCTGTGATATAGGTCTGTCCAATATGGTTAGATCTAGAAGCCTTATGTGTCTCATAATAATGTTGAATCTTTACTCTTGAACTCATCCTAGCAGGTTCTTTTGGTGGCAAGTTTCCATTCTTTAGCCTGTACATATTCTGTGTTCCTGGTACATGAACTAACTCTTCAGTGGTAATCATCTCTAGCTTGTAGGGACAATCCATCTGGAAGTGACCAGGTGTCTCACAGAAATGACAGTTTTCAGGTGTGTTACTGCTATACTGCTCTTAAATACTCTAAACTGATGCAGTTTGAGTAATTTTAGATACTGTTTTAATTTGAGCCAACATCTTATGCAAATTCTCATCTCTCTTACTTTGTGCTGAAACCTGGTTCCCAAGCAACTTCACAATGAGCCTATTACTGTCTGCTATTTTTGCCAAGAAGCTATTTACTTCATCCAGCAATTCAGCTACAACTGGCTCCCTCTTGAAATTCATCATGTTTCAGCTCATTGGGATGCTCAGTTCTTTGATAGTAGCTATCTGGCTTGCATTTGAAAATGAAACATCAAATATTTCATTATAAACTGCATCAGATTGATCTCTTTAACACTCATATTTCTGAACACATCTTCTAAAGCCCAGGAATCACATGCAATCCTCACCAGGTGCTTTTCAGTTGCTGTCTAGCTGGCTGGCTATCCAAGCAATTTTTCATATGCTTTCACAGGATATCCTTCTTAAATAGTGAGATGAAGAGTCTCACCAGGTTTAAGTTCAACATTAGATCTTTCTGGGTCACTCTTGCTTTTAGTCTAGAACTCTCTTTGATAGTTTAAGTAATCAGCAGAGTCTGGGATGCCTTCTTTCTTGCATTTATGGGCTATCTTGAATAGTCCCTTCTTTGCATCTTTGTCTTCTTCAGCAGCACTATTGTAACTGTGCAAGACTTCTTTCTTAAATTCTTCTCAGGTTCTTTCTTCTTTAAAAGTTGAGAAAGCCCTCTACTAGTCTTCAATGTCAGTACCAGTATAGTGTACAGCCCAATCTTTCTTCTCCTCATCTATAGACACCCCTTCATGAGCTTTAAACATTTCCTCTAGTATATGGAAATATTTTTGAATCATTCAGAAATTTAAAGTTTTCAGCCTGGATGCATCTTTTGAATGCTCCATTGGCATCTGTCTTTTAACTATCATGATTATGGACTGTGATGATTGTGAAATCTGAGTGGGTTGCAAGATTGAGTTTGAACTTGGATTCTGACCTAGCACTATCAGAAAGAGTAGAGTCTGATGGAGGAGGGTTCAGAGAAGCATTATGCAATCCTCTCTCAATCCTTGCATGGTTGAATGCTGCTGCAGCAATTTTTGCTTCAATCTTGGTTTTGTTACATGCATGCCACCAGCCTTTATGTCACCTTGACCAACCACAAATTCAAACACAAGTTTCACTGGACTCTGCCTGCTTTCCATTACCTACTAATTTTATATTACTATTATCATTTCATATCTGTATTTCACATTTTAGTATCTAGACTCCAAACATAGTAGCAAACAGTTGACACTGAAACCCAATGGTCTCTAACTCAGAATTAACTACTAATAGTATATAAACCATATACAATCATTGTAACTACTCAGTTTGAATATCAACTTGGATAGCCATCTACACTTCATGCTCACTTCAGCTCCTCTTTATCTTGTCCATGAGATTCCACTCCAAAGAATATCCCTCTTCACTTCTCTGACAGAACTCTGTTCTGTCAATCCAAATCCTTGAGCCTTGACTCAAGAGTGATATTGCCAATAGCTTTGTTGATGCTCACACACCCCACCAGTCTCTGCACATGTGCTCAAGCTCACTCGATTGGCACATTCCTAACAGGTTTCTATGTCCAGATTCTTTGATATAACTCTTTTCTGTGCTTTGTGAAACTATACCAGCTTCTACTTCAGCTTTATGGAATCTGCTATGCTCTGCTTTTTCTTCTGCTTGCTTAAGTTTTTGTGCTTCTCATGCTACTTTATGCAACAATCAGACACTACTCAGATTGGGTTGGAGACAGGGATCATCCTCCAGGTTGTGGACTTGTTACTTTCAAAGACACTTTCAAATCTAGATATTAACTCTCTCTCTTGTGATGGGCTCCAGATGAAATGTTGAGAAGTGGCAATAAATGAATCAACAATGTGCAGGATGCACACTACTAAAACACTGACACCAAATCACAATGTGGCTCAAGGGAGGAATGCTAATGTCTGGATTCTAAGTATGTAGAGAATGTAATGTGGATGGGATGCAATAAAGTGTACTTCAAAGATATATATTGTGGTTTGCTTAGACAAAGCTGTTTGTGACACTGAACACAACAAAGCTTATCTCAAACAGTCTGCCTAGTGCAGGTTCTGAACTTGTACCATCTGCCTGATGCAGCTTCTGGACTGATATAATGTGCCAAGTTGTGACTTATACACAGTACTGGCTGCTCTGAACTGTCTCAGGTCTATTCTGACTGTCTGATATAAACTTTCAGTTGCTTTCTGAGGGTTCTTGCCCAAACAAAGTGACCTGGTCACCACAACACTATTCAGGCTGAGTCTATGACTCAAAGCTCTTAGCCAAACACAATCCATACTATTTGCTTGGTAGCATTTTTTTTTTGAGGGGTGGGAGAGAGGGGCAAGAAACCTGCTTTCCCTCTGTACATGACCTGGTATTTATACTTTCTGGCTACCTATGTCTGACTAACATAATGGACTACTGACTAATATACTTGCTGATCCAACCATATAGGCTAAACTCATCTTCTGGCAGATATGAACTCATATGTGGCTATCTGGTTGATTGATTGGACTAGGCCCTAGTCCTTGCTGATATGCCAGTCATTTGGGTCCCCATTCCCTGACCTGGGAACCTCACATACTAAACAGAGAGGTCTGCTAGTACTTTGGTCTCTGCTAGAAACTGAGATATCACACTTGATGGAATTGGGCCCTCATCAGGTAATTGCTTGCTTATTATATTTTACTAGGGTGGATACAAGGTGGCTAACTTGATAGAAAAAATAAATATATTCCTTTTCTACCTGGTACAGCTGCCTAGCATATCAATGTGTAAAAAAGTGTAAAGAGTACAACACCTTACAAGGTCCATTGACCAGAGAAAATACACACTCAAACAGGGTGTATTGAGCAGAGATGGTCCAGTAGACACTAGGTAAGGCAGACGTACAAGATGGCCGTAAAAAGTTAACAGATATCCCGATAAATAACCAATGAAAACTACCATGTGTAACACCGTTAGTAAGCAAGGATATATAGCGTAATACGGATCCCTTACATTCATGATGCACTCACCTGGGTGGAAGACCGTTGTTATCGGTCGACCAGGAGCAGGTTTCTGGCGTTGTGGACGGAGATACCGTCGTAGGGACGTGAAACCGATGCCATTGCATCTCACTACTGGAATGGGACAGCAATCTGGGTCCGTTGTAACGAATGTTGGCAATTCGAAAGCGGGCGGTACTTTGGATCCAACGGCAGAGCGATTCAACAGGATAGGATGGTTACTCTTATGCTCAAGCAATTTTCAATCAGCGATCCGCTTCTGATACACGAATCTCAGTCCATTTAGTCGTTCCTTAGACTATTTCATTCGTGCTTCTTGTTTACGAAATAGTAACAGCTAGCATCAAATCACCCAGAATCAAATATGACGTTACATGATGCGACATCCTATCCAAGAGACGTATCCCGTTGTAGGCTGCGCGATCGTATCCTAGGACAAATGTCGGACACTTGTCGGACGTTCGTCTTGCTGCCACGGATCCTTTTGGACCTAAAGGACGATGAAACATGACATCAGATCGTTCGTCAGCAACCGAAGGCCCGATATCCGTGTCAGAGACACATCGAGGATCGAAATGCTCCTACTATTCATGGAGCTATCTGTCTTGTTCAGCAATAACGCGTAGGTGCTCTGTCACGTTCGAACAGCTGATAGATCCCCAGAGGTAATAATTGCATTGAGCAGCAAAACTCGATAGACATGTGTATGCATAGAAATGGCTGTCTGCGCGTCAGACAAGAGTATGAAAAGCAGACGCGGGAACGCACAGACGATATGATCACAGCGGAACGCTTGTAGTCGATGGCAGGTGGATGGATTGATTAGTTCGTCTAGCTGCGGAACAGCCGCTCTGTATCTACGCTGCCCCTAAACGGACACATGCTACGCTCTGGTTCCGCCTCCGCCTTCTCCTATCTACGCTCCCAACAGCCCGATCCGGATGATTGAGGTAGAGTAGCGAACTAGAGAAGATCAGCAAGATGCTCTACAGAGGAAAGAGAGACTCACGCGCTGTCAAAACTTCCTGGTTCCGTACACATGAAGTCACCAGGGAAGCACTCGGTCCTCTCATTCCAAGTGACGAAAGCCGATTGGTTCAAATGGGCATTGAGAGAGACCGGCATACATACGAGCCGTGGATTCCTTCTTCTCTTGGTGGCCGCAATTATCCCTTCCCGCTACTGGAGAGATGAGGATTCTTTTAAAGCGTCGCAACGACGGCGCTGCTTACTAATGTCCCCCGTCAGGCTAGGAACTCCGCTCTTGGCCCTTGTTCTTGCTATAAACCAGTGAAGGCGAGGTTTATCTCTTGAGTGGAAATCATCACGAAAGGCAGGTAGGCGAGTAGTTTGCATATGCTGATGGTGGTAGGTGAAGGAAGGGTGACGATTGCTTGGTTGGACTCGGAAGTCTCCGTATCGTTTGCAGACAACGCGTCGACTCCTCGCGCGTCGCCGATGCTGAGGGAAGGTCAAACATAATTGGATTTTGTTTCGTTGGAATGTACCGAAATGTTGATGAACGATGCGCAGCATCCTGACAATTGGATGTCATGGTAGCGAATAAATACTACTGGGCAAAAGTGAGTCCACTTGAGCCAAGAAATAACGAAAGATAACAGGCGCACCCGTGAGCTATAAGATCGTTCCTTCAACGAGGTCATCAAGGCACTGGAACGTGGATATCAACATAAGCCGATGCAATGAAGATGGCAACGACACGCCCAGGAAGATGATGGAACTTGAGCACGAGGGTAAAAAGCAAGAGGCAACGGGCAAGAGATTTTCAAACTTGTGGCTCTTTGATCCTTACCATCGCGTCCATATTTCATTTTGGCCGCGACAAGTCCTACCATGCTCCTTGTGCTCTTTCCTTACTGAACATTATGGTTCCTATGGTTCCAAAACTCGATATTCAAATATCTGCGGTCCCGACATTGACAGAGCGACGTCGGACGATGGTACAGTACATTCAACGTAGCTCAAGCAGGCTGCCAGTGATATTGTCAAAATTGTAGAGGAGTAAATCTGCATGCTACAGGCATGTTGTACGACCTCTTACCGTGCTTGTTATTTCTATTTGACACCCCTCATTTTGTAGACAAATCTATCTCATTAGCCCGGCGACTGAAGAGGAGAATATTTCACCACCATCCGGTACAACCGTAAAGCGTACATTAGAGGCTACGACCTACAGTCTATTGATAATCCATCGGATTCTCGACAAACTACCTTTGCACTCTCTGTTCCCTCAGCCAAGTCGTAAACTGGGACAGAGCAGGGATGGCGGTCAAAGCACATGACTGCAGCTGCTGTGAAGATAGTCCGCCTTGAATAGTTGCCTTTGCTTCGCCATACTCGATAGCTGGCGATCAGTATCCTCACAGTCTTAGTACTGGTGGCGAGTTGGATTGCCTTAATACTCGGGGGTGCTGTCTGAAATCATACATAGGTCCAACCTTCCAAGCACATCAAAATCTGTGGAATTAACTATGACCCTTGATTAGGATGCGCCCCTCCTGAATTCCTTTATTGCATCTTAAACTGAACCACTTTTATGCCTCATCAACTGATGAATAAAGTGTTGGAGGATATCCGTACGTTTCATCTTATCTTACTTTTGATCACTCGCTCTATTTGCCTTATATATACTTACACCTCCTGTCGTTTCCCGATCACCTATATAGTCCAGCTGTTCCTATCTGTATGCCTCAGTCACTTCACCCATGTTGTGCCCAACTGAGGTATGTATATCCCTACTGTGCTTATGACTATGATACTTACATTTGTTCATAGATACTCACATATATTCTTCTGTCAATAGGTTATGAGGCCCTGTTGCCTATAACTACTCAGTCAAGAAGAATACGCAATGGAATTTCGACTCAACTTACTGCTTGAATTTATACCATACCACTACCCTCACCACTTTACACCACACCCCTAAACGATGTTGTTGATGTTGGGAGTCACTATCCTCCCTGACACAAGTAGCCATTTCAACAGAAAGAACTATGCCTCATGGAAACTCCAACTTACTGAGTTACTGAAGGGAAAAGGCCTATGGGGATACATTGCAGGAACTACTGTCTGTCCTGCCATCCCCACTACCACTACCACAGCCACCGCTACTACCACACCCCTCCCACCAGACCCTACTCCCATATACTCATCCTCTCCCTCATATGATGAGTGGGTCTTTCGTGATCAGCTCGCCCACTCAAACATTGTCCTCAACGTTCTTGACCCCATTGGTCTAGGGGTCAAGACTGACAGAACGGCAAAGGAATGCTGGGACTCTGTTGCTGCAGAACATGCAAAGAAAATGGATATGGCCCTTTCTGAGGCTGAGGCATTGCTGAATGCGGCGAAGTTTGACAGGAACAGTGACATCAATATCCACATCGCCAACCTGCGCACGAAATGATGAGCTGTGAATGACCTCCGAACCACAGCATTGAGTGATCAGGAGTTCAAGGGAATAATTATTCACTCAATAATCCTGACTGATCACTGGATGCCTATCCTCCCAAGTTTATATGGCATGCCAACATTCTCTGATGTGTTTTCCCATCTCCAAACCCATGCCGCCATGCTTCGTGCAGTGGGTAAAGGTCCTGCCAACTCTCAAGCACTTGCAGCTGGAGTCGGAACCTCTGTCATGGTACGTGGATGTCGCAATCCAGATTGCAAGGCCCATGATAAGACTAGGCACACCACCGAGAATTGTTATTGGCCAGGAGGGGGAAAGGAGAGACAATTTCCTGTCAACTTCGGCTGACCTCGCCATGCAAACCAGGCAATCTCGAACACCATGGCTGATACTACAAGGCATTTTGTACTTGCTATGTGTGCTACTACAGTGGAAGCCGATCATGATAATGATGGCATTGTAATTGAGGATGGCAGCACTGGTGAGAGGATATACGAGTGGAATGGTACCCATTCCTTCTGGCGCTGGGATGAAACAGAGAGCAGCACTATATTGATGTCGAAGGTTGAAGAAGAGACAGACCTCGAAATGCCTCCTCTCACTGACGTCGATGACTCTGATGACTCTGATGTTGCTGGAGACGATGAGATACCTTCTGTCAAGAGTATAGACACTAGCAAGGCCAACATTGAGAATGTAGGACACTTTACATGCGAGGCTGACCCTGCTACAACAGCCTTTGTCATGACTACATTCGAAGGCCATACCCCAGCCATCACTTTAACCTTCATGGATTCTGGCACGAGCAACTACTTCTTCAGGAATCGTGACGACTTCACAGAGTACATGCCAGTAGCTTTCCATACTGGCTCATCTGCAGTTGAGGGAAAGGGAACATTCGAGATTCTGGGCCAGGGTACAGCAACAAAGGTCTTCAGACTGAATGGAAGAGATATTAAGCTCACCTTCAAAAATGCCTTGCATTCACCTTCACTCGCCACAAATCTCATCTCCATAAGCATCTTAGACAAGGCTGGGTTGTCAACTGTGTTCTCTGATGGCCGTGCAGTTGTCCAGGATAAGTCTGGTAAAGAGATCTTTGCTGGGTGAGGCTCAGATGGCATGTATGTGCTGGATGCTGCACCTAGCCCCCAAGCTATAGCATCCTGCTCATCTCCCACTTTGCTGAGTACTTGGCACCATCGTTTTGTCCACATGAGCCCTGCAAAAATCGAGGAGATGGCATCAAAAAGGCTGGTGGATGGCTTGGAAATTACCTCAGAGCCTATCCAGGGACGCTGCAAGGACTGTATTCTAGTGAGACATGCTCGCCATCTCTTCGATGAGCCCACCGATCCCAACATCGACCCACTGGAGCTTGTTGCAACAGATATGTGGGGACCATCTCGAATGGCATCACTGAGTGGAAAGACTTATATGATGATATTCATCGATAGTGGTACATCGTTCAAAGCAGGGGAATTCCTGGCAGACAAAGCAGATGACACTACCGTGGCTGCTTTTGACAGATACAGGCACATGGCTGAGACCCAGACTGGCTGAAAGCTTAAGTGTATATGTGCTGATCATGCTTTTGCAGGGGTAAAGTGGAAACAATATTGTGAGGAGCATGGGATCATCCTGGAATTAACTGCACCCCACTCATCAGCCCAGAATGGATTAGCTGAATGTGCTCTACACACCACCATGGAGGATACAAGAGCTCTACTAAGTGACTCTGGCCTTGCTGACCACTACTGGGCTGAGGCTGCCTCTATGTCAATCTTCACACGAAACCTTGTTCCTTCGAGTCGCCATCCTGGAGTGGTACCAGCAGAGGGTTTCTCGAAGTGATGACAGAATATGGGATTTTTATGAGTGTTCGGATCCACTTGCTGGGCAAAGAAACCTATAGCTGGTGGAGTTTTGGTAGATGGCGGAAGCAAACTCAATGATCGATCAAAGAAATGCATCTTTCTGAGATACTCAGGGTCCAATTACCATGTACTTGATCAATCAGGATGTGTGTTCATGTCTCGTGATGTCATCTTTGATGAAGGACCAGCGCACCGAAGTGTGAGTGTAGGGGAGATGGAGGACGAACCTGCACTCACCACTTCTACTCATACCGAGATGCCTATGCCAACCGAGCCAACCGAGCAAATGCCAGATGCTCTCACAGAACCAACTTTTCGCCGATCAATGTGCTTAATGCGTCCCAGTGCTGATGCTGCTGAATCTCTGATGTCAAAGCAACGAGAGGCTGAGGCCCATGCAAGCGGAAATGACTGGGCAACCAACAGCAAACAGCCACATGCTTCAATGGCTTCTGGTAATCCACCTGACCCATACATCCCACGAAATCATCAAGATGCACTGCGTGTTGATGAAGAGCGATAGAAGGCAGCTATGGATGTGGAATACCAAATGCATATGACGAAGCATATGTGGGACCTAGTCGACAGACCAGTAGGTGTGAACATGATGGATTGTAAATGGGTCTATGGTATGAAATGAGATGGTGATGGTAACTGGATCAGAGACAAGGTGAGGCTCATTGGGAAGAGCTATACTCAACAGTATGGACTCGACTATAATGACACTTGGGCTGTGGTGACCCGTCTCGAATCCGTACAGATGTCGGCTGCTGTTGCAGCAAAGCTCGATCTTGTCCTATGGCAAGTGGACTTCATTTCGGCATACTTGAATAGTGAGACAAAAGAAGACATCTATATGCGTCAGCCTCCAGGGTACGTAGTCGAAGGACAAGAGGATAAGGTGTGCAAACTTGTCCATACTATTTATGGAACTATGCAGGGTGGCCATGATTGGTTCGAGATGCTTGGGAAAATCTATGAAGACCTTGGATACCATGCATCGAAGGCAGACCCATGTGTATGCACCATTGGCAAGCCTGGAGATGAGTATACCATCACAGACACTTACACTGACGATGTGTGGGGAGCATCGTCGACTACAGAGGAGGCAAGCCGACGGAAGAAGGAATTAGAGGAGAAATGGGAGCTCACCGATATGGGGGAGAACTGTTACTTTCTGGGGATGAAGATTGAACAAGACCTTGAAGCTGGCACCATCACCTTCTCGCAGCATCCATATTGGGAGAATGTATTTTTGGACTTCAACCTTGGATACGTATGATCACGGACCACCCCCCTACCTGTTGGAATCGTACTCGACATGTCACAGTCTCCGAATACCCAAGCAGAGAAGGACACTATGGAAAGATTCCCATACCGATGACTGCTAGGCCGCATTATGTGGGGACAGCTTGCAACTCGTCCCGACTTGTGCTTTCCTGTGAGCCTGCTCGCTCGCTTCCAGTCTAACCCAGGAATAGAGCACTGGAAAGCATTAATACATGTCCTTGGGTATATAAAGGAGACAATGGACCTTGGTATCTCCTTCTCGCATGAGCAGCCGTTAACACCTGTTGGATTTGTAGATGCGGACTATGGGGGTTGTAGGGACACGACTCGTTCGACATCTGGCTACGTCTTCACCATGGCGGGTGGTCCGATTTGCTGGAGCTCAAAGCGTCAGGCTACCATCGCCCTGTCCACTGTTGAGGCTGAATACATTTCCCTTACTCGTGCAGCACAACAGATGATGTGGATATTGTCTTGGATGGATGAGGTCCAACTACCTCAACCTCGCCCCGGTGTATTGTATGGTGACAACCAGGGTGCTGTAGCATTAACAACAAACACACGGTCCCATCAGAAAGTCAAGCATATCCGCATTCGAGAGCATTTCATTAGGGAGCTCATGAAGGACGGCGAATTACGTGTCGAGTTTGTTCGAGGGAACGCAAACCCTGCAGATATGTTCACCAAGCCCTTGCCTCATGATACGCACAATGGTTACTTTGAGATGCTCAACGTTATCCCAGTAGATTGAACGGATATGGGGGAGTGTTGGAGGATATCCGTACGTTTCATCTTATCTTACTTTTGATCACTCGCTCTATTTGCCTTATATATACTTACACCTCCTGTCGTTTCCCGATCACCTATATAGTCCAGCCGTTCCTATCTGTATGCCTCAGTCGCTTCACCCATGTTGTGCCCGACTGAGGTATGTATATCCCTACTGTGCTTATGACTATGATACTTACATTCGTTCGTAGATACTCACATATATTCTTCTGTCAATAGGTACAGTAGACTCAATACAGTTGCTTCACCCACGTTGTGCCCGACTGAGATACTCACATATATTCTTCTGTCAATATAAAGAACAGCCGGTGCAGTTCCTGCCGAATTGTCACTACGTCGCAGAACAGCACCCTCCGCGTCTGTTGCCAAATTCGTTATCTAGATCATCTCAAACAACACTGCCATTCTTGTTCTGTACACCCTTTTTCCGTCGTAGGCCTCGGATGCTGTCTAGTAGGAGCTATGGGCATGGTCCATCCCCTCCGTGACCACGAGACGTATGCTATACTTCTCCGTTTGTCCATAGTCAAATCTGCAACTTGCACTAGCTATCCCACATTCCCTATCGGACCTAGCGATACGGTTCCACTTTCATCTCCGTCGATCTGCTGCGTTGACCGCTTTGGCTACCCGACTTCTAAGATCAAAATAGAGCTACGTCGGAACTTTTCAATTTGAGACAAAAGACAGCGATGCAGCCTCATAATAACCCAATTAACCTGCTACTTCACGTATCGTTACATCACCTTAAGAACACCGCATCGCTGGTGCGCTGTGTCGAGTCTCCATCGGGACGTTGCTGCGTTAGGTAGCTAGGTAGTGTTACTCGGCAGTAGCGAACGCCGATTGCAGAAATGTGTACGCAGTATGGGCCGATGTTCCGAAATGCACGACGCACGAGAACGGGATGACCGAGCTTCCCTTTCTCTTCAATGAGGGTCGCAGCTGGCTTGGCGTACGGCATATACGCTGGTTGAAGTAATCAATCAGAGCACTATGAAGGAGCTTTCCTTCCCCTATGACGCACTCGATGGGAAGGAGTCTGGCTAAACACCTACTTCTGACGACAAATATAGGGATTGCATCACAATATTGAAGATAAGTCGTCGCGCTTATAAGCCACAGACTTTGGGACTCTAATTCCCTACCCAAAATATGACTTCCCAGCTGTCCCAGCTTGTCTCTCTCATCTCAAACGCCACCAAATCCGTAGAGGATGCCTTCGCAAAGACAGCTAAACCTGACGTCCCTTCGTTGGACGACACCACTCCCCATCCCTTAGATGATCAGGTATCATCTACGGAGATGAGAGAAGCCATCCAGACGATAGAGGGCGCATGCGCGCAGCTCTGCGCTCTCGTTGCTCACCCTAACCGTGCCATGCTGAACGTAAGGTTTTTGTTAGGATTGAACAGCACTCACCATTAACCCCCTGGCAGAGAGTATTCAACGTAAGTGTGTCCATCAGTGGCCAAACCTGTCTAATACGATCTTCTATAGATGTTTGAACCAGCGTGTATCCGCGCCGTCATCAATTTCAACATTGCTGACCACCTCCTCGACAAACCGGAAGGCGTTCACATGACAGAGCTCGGCAAATTATCAGGTGTAGAACCTCGCAAGCTGGGCAGAATCATGAGACTCCTCGCAAGCAATCATTGCTTCCGTGAAGGTAGGCTCCCGCTTCTCTGTTTGTTTGTTTTCTTGCTAACAAGTTGCAGTCAACCCCAACGTCTTCGCGAACAATCGGCTCAGTATGATGCTCTTGAGCACAAACGGTGCATCAGCCTTTTCCGATCTTATGTGAGTCCGGTCCTCGAATGAAAGAACAAAACGCCAACATGATCCATCTCTGCTTCAGAACAGACGAGACAAACAAAGCGGCCGCCATGCTCACCGAAAACTTGAAGGATCCGGATTGGGGACATTCATATTCGCCTACCCACACTCCTTTCAACTCCTGGAGCAAGTATCCTGGAACAATATTCTCGTGGTATCAGGGTCCGGTATGTGTCGCGTTCCATTGACATTCAGGTTCTTGTGTTCAGAATTGGAACAGGGAACAGATATCGGAGCTGCGAAAGGCATCCGTTTCGGGAAGGGAATGAAAGGATGGGGCGACTTCCTTGAAACGTCGGCTGTCGTCAATGTATTCCCGTGGAGCGATCTTCGTGATGGTGCCATTGTATGCGATATGGGAGGAGGAATCGGGGTCGTCTCTATGCAGTTGGTTGATGCCTATCCCAACCTTCACATCGTGCTTCAAGATGTACCTGCACAGATCGAAGTGGCAAAGAACGAAGTTTGGCCAAAGTTCTGCCCAATGGCTATTGGCGAAGGGCGCGTAGAATTCAAAACTATGGATTTCTTTGCGGAATTACCGGTCAAAGGCTGTGATGTGTACTTTGTGAGCACGCCATCTCATGCTGATTGTTTCTCCCTTTGACCATAATGATCCGAAGCTGAAAAATATCTTGTTAGTCGCATCCTCATGAAGCCTGGGCCGGGTACTTACCATTTTTTCTAGACACGACTGGCCGGACAAAGAATGCAAAATGATTTTAAGGAATTTGGTGAACGCTATGTCGGCGAATAGTCGTCTGCTAATCAGTACGTTTCCTCTCTGCTATGTCTTCCGCCGCTGACTATGGTCGCAGACGACTACATCATTCAGCACGTGAATAGAGACAGCAACACGCCCGAGTCGGTATCAGATCTTAAGCTAGCGCCGGAACCTCTTCTGCCCAACTACGGTGCGGGGGGCATGACCCAGTACAACATGGATCTGGCAGTGATGTGCTTGTTCAACAGTCAAGAGCGCACTTTGGAGCATTTCATTGAAATGTGCCAGGAGGTTGGCTTGAAGTTTGTGCGTGTATGGGATGCAGGGGAGACCAGTGTTATCGAATTTTGTTTGGAGTGAAGGCCCGCCCACAGTGGGTCCATCAGAAGGATATGCTAATAACATGATTCGAGCGTATATGTAGGGACAAAATCTCTTACCAAAGTATTGAAAGCGAATACTGAGAGGATATCAGCCTAGACTTTCACAAGAGCCTTGCAAAGATCATGCAAGATTGAGAAGGAGATCTGAGGGGGAAATAGCATACCGCAGACAGGGAAAAATCTCCTTGCATCTCCATCAATCTAGCCCGCAATGCTGCATAAATGCTATTTCGTAGTCTTGCTAACCATGTTAACCGGATTTCCTCGTTAAGTACGGCACTGTAGTCAAATGATATGAAGGTTCCGGGGGTGTTCATAAAGAGATGCCTCATGAAATTACAGAGGTACAGGGAACAAAATTCGACCCTGTGCTAAAATCAAAAGCATTGGCAAAATATTGCCGTAACGCATCCAGGATCCTGGCTGGACCAGCAGATATATGCTCCTTCAACGACACCGAGAATCAACGAAGCTGCTACTGAGTCTGTCGTTGTCGTGGTAAGAAGGCAAAAAAGGCGGGATGATTACGTGAGCCGACAATCTTCGTATCAACTTTCACCCTGCAACTGCTGCCCCTCGATGTCTCGAATTCCCTGCGGCTTCAAGCGAATGGGGCTACGAGGAAGTTATTACCTGGTTCATTTACTTGGTGCTGAGCTCACTTTTTCCTTCTGACCCACAATTTTTTGGTGCGTTCATATACTTCAAATCTCAGATATGATCATCAACGAGGACTCGAATCGAGATTTCAGTGTCAATCTCGCTACAGGCTGCGGAGAATCTGATGAAACATAAATAATAGACAATGATAATTCTTTCTGTGCCGAACAAGAAGGTGGTCTTAGTATCGAATTTTTTCCATTCAGTACTAATCTCGCTGAAGTGTCGACGTGTCACTCGAGCGTCGAATTTTTTAGCAGTCTGAGTACTTTGTCCCTTAAAAGATGCTGTCATTATCGATGAATCTTGCCCCGATTCGGGAGCGTGCACGCGCTACGAAACTCTACTTTGTATCCAAAAAAGGATCATCTCCGACAGGTAGTAGCCACTCTTCTGGGTTTTCCCCATTCACGTCCCGTTCATAGTGGGTTTCTCTCCGTCTGTAGTTGTAAGTATTAGAGTCCTTATGCCAATAATCAGGCAAGAGGAATGGGAAAAACACAGTGCGATACCTTTACGGAGATGCAGGGTTCATCAGCACCCGTGTCCGCTCGCAGAACAAAGACAATGTCGGACCTTGTTCCTGGGTGGTTCTGTCCTGCTCCCATCTTGATTACAGTTTAACCAGCCGTTGCGGCATCTTCCGCAGGAGAACATGGCTGAAAATTTCGATCCAGAACTGGTTCACAGGTTACAAAGTTTAAAGTCATTCTTCAACTTGGATCGTTGCAAGAACACCCTCTGACATTTTCCTCCCACCTACCCTTGCTTCCGGATCCCTCCCATGGCGGTCAGACAATTTATTTTTGCTCTTACGCCTGTTTCTTTACTTACCTTTATTTTATTCCAGCGCCTTCAAGCTAAGCACCCACAGATCTATGCCTGCACGTATTCTGGATGCAGGGTGAAAATGACAAGGAAGCACGACGTCCAGCGACATGAAAAGACTCACCTCACAGGTGAGCCTTTGAAAACACGGTCAGTAATGCATTATATCTTTCTCTTTCTTCTCTGACAATGGTTCTGACACAGAAAATTCCCATGCCCGAGCACTGAGTCTGGTTGCTCCTTCAGCAGCCTGCAACTCAGCAACCTAAAAGCTCACATCCGGGCTAAGCAGTGAGTCGTCCAATGTTCCGTCTTCCATAATAGTTGTACTTACCACTGATATCTCAGCTCCGAAGTCGAGCACCTTATGTGCTTCGACTGTAGACCGACGTACAGACGGTTCTCGGATGCCGCCAAATTCGCTGAGCACAGACGAGTCGAACACCGGCCTACAGAGACATGGAACCTCCGCCCTGGAACCGACCCACACAAGCCCTGCCATGAAGTCGTCAAGGGACCCGAGGGCATCGTCGGTCGTCCGCCGGTGCTACTCAGCCCTCCCCCACCCCCCGTCGACAAGTTCCCGCTCCCGCCAACCGCTCCTCTGTCACGAACATCGACGCTGCCCATGTTTATCACCACACCCACTTCGGCACTCCCCAGCCATGAACCCGAACCTCATCGTGATCCTTCTCGCCCTCGGCGGCAGTGGTATCGCGCCCCACAGCCACCTCAACATCACCCAAGGCTTTCCTCATCATCAGAGAGACCCTGCGACGTTCATCCCGACGAAGTGAAAATGGGTGCATGTGGTGCTCTAGCTCCCGGGGTGGCGGTGTGCATGTAGATGATACCCAGTGATGGGTTGATGATGAAGTGGCACTGGATGAAGGAGAGAGTGTTGGGATAGCAATCCTGAGTGAGTATGAGAACATACTCGAAGATACAATGCCAGTCAGCACCAGCTGACTTGGATAGTGATCCGGACTTATTTAGTATCTCATAGAAAGATCTCGAAGTAATACAAAATGTATTTAAGTAGAACATCTCTCTCTCAAGAGGCTAATTCTAATCCTCTGTACATTACTCTGCTCTCTACTTACAACAGGTTATGGGCCCCAGCCATAATTGAACTTATGTCACTACTCACTTCACACTCTTTCATACTTTATGTACACACATAGAACTGCATGGATAGCCAGTCCATGTATAGAATTGACCCCCTTAAGGGCCTGGAAAATTATCCGACATGGAAAATCAAGATGATCAATATCCTAACCAATTTAGGACTAATTGATTATGCAGATGGAAGCATTCTGGCCCTGGCAGACACAACACTGGTGGCAGATTGGAAGAAGAGTGATAGGAAGGCTCTTTCAACAATAAGATTGTGGGTTTCAGATGGCCCACTGGTATATATTGCTGGTTCAAAGGCTTCAGCAGAAGCCTGAAAAGCTCTGAAAGATATGTATGAGTCCAGGGGACCCATGGGAATTGTCTTTGTCAGAAGGAAATTCTTCAGAGCTCAGTGCAAAGAAGAAGGAAACATAGAGGAGCATATTAGGACTTTGAGGTCCTATCAGGAGAAGCTGGCATCCCTTAAGCAGAAAGTTGAGGAGGAGGACTTCTCTATTACACTGCTTACATCACTCCCAGAATCATGGAATTCATTCATCTCATCAGTGAATACTGCTGACTTGAAAGATTCTTACAAGTTGATTTCCCAAATTCTTCAGGAGGACATCTGATTAAAGGAAAAGGCTTCTGATCAGACCACAACACTTGCAGCACATGGCAAGGAGTCCAATTCAAAAGTCACATGTTATGAATGTGGGGAAACTGGTCACATCAGAACAAATTGCTCAAATGGGAAGAAGAATTCCAGAAAGTCATGGAAAGGAAAGGGAAAGGGCCAGACTCAGGCACATGTTGCCAAATCGGACTCAGAAGAAGATGACTACATATTTTGTGCAACAGACATCACACTTACTTCACTCTCAGGAGTATCATGGCTAGGGGACTCTGGCACTACCAGACATATAGTCAAAAATAGATTATATTTTTCTGACTATGTTGAAACCTCAGGACATGAAGTCATTGGTGTAGGCAAATCCAAAGGCTTGGGATGGAGAACTGTCAAGATTAAAATGGTTGAAGGAGAAAAGATCACTCTAGTCACACTAAAGGAGTACATCCACTGCCCTGATGCACCATTCAATCTTATGTCAATAGGGTGTATTACACATGCTGAATTTGAACTCAAATTCAAAGAGTTCAGAATGAATATTATCTCACCACATGGCAAGATAATTGGCTATAGAGATAAAATATCAAAGCTGTACAGCCTTGACATTATTATTCCAGAAATAACCCAGGCCCATGCTATGAAATCAGCCTGATCATGGCAAAAGTGGCACAAAACATTAGGCCACTTAAATATGAGATCAGTAAAGAGACTATTTAGGAAGAAAATAGTCAAGGGGATAGACATAGATAAGTCAGCCAAGCCTCAGACAGATTGCATAGCTTGCATAAAAGCCAAACATCATACCAAGCCATTTCCACAGGAAGCTGAAAGAGACTATACTGAAATAGAGAAAATGACATTTTCAGATCTATGGGGGCCAGCCCAAACTCAGGGTATCCATGGTGAAAGGTATTACATAAGCCTCACAGATAGAAAATCCCAAAGGACAATGTTGTATTTTTTGAAGTCAAAGCAAGGTATGGAAATTCAAAAGAAGATCCAGCAGTATCAAAAATACATCAAAGTCCACAAAGAGAAGGATCTGAAGTTTATGAGGATTGACAATAGAAAGGAATATATCAATGAAGAGGTAAAGGAATACCTCCAGAACAATGGCATACAGTTGGAATTGACTGCAGCATATTCTCCATCTCAAAATGGAGTTGCTGAGAGAATAAATCAGACCCTTGTGGAGCATGCATGTGCCATGCTAGAAGAACATCACTTACTGAAGTTTCTATGGCCTGAGGCAGTGGCATATGCCATGTACCTGAAGAACCAATCACCAACCAGAGCCATCAAGAATGATCTAACTTCAGAAGAAGTGTTTCAGGGCATAAAACCAGATATTTCAGCACTCCAGGAATTTGGAGTAAAGTGCTGGGTGTTGCAGCAAGACAACAAGAGGTCAAAACTGGACCCAAAGTCAAGGGAATTTATTTTCACAGGTCTTACAGATGAATTCAGGGCCTGGAGATATTACAACCCTCAAACCAGGCAGATTCAGACCTCAAAAAATGTTATATTCTCTGAAAACAACACTACAGAGCCTATAGACACTGACTATATAGTCTCCCACCCTTCATCACTCAAGGGAGAGTCAGGGAGCAAAGTCGAGCAGACTCTGGATGGAAATAATAGCATTTCAGACAATTCTGTGGATGCCAGAAATGCCAAACTAAAAGGGGAAACAGCCCCTGATGTGTCATTGATCAAATCAAAGTTCCCAATATGGCATGAGAAAATGATCAAGCCATATGACAAATCAGCCCGGATCACATCAAAGACCCAACCAAGTTACCGGACACTTTATAATCCAAGTGCATGAGCTGTGAAAACATCAGAACAACAGCATACCTCAGAAGAATCATCTTTGGAAGCTGTAAATGTTGCAATAGACTATGCATGCATTGGAGAAACTGCAGACAACCTCAGTGATAAGCCATTAAGCCTTGAAGAAGCCAAGACAAGGCCAGACTGGCATCATTGGAAGAAAGCAATAGATGAAGAATACAATCTATTGACTTCTCTAGGCACATGACAGCTGGAAGAATTACCCAAAGACAGATCACTTGTGGATTGCAAGTGAACTTACAGATTGAAAAGAGATGGTGATGGGAAAATCACCAGGTACAAGGCCAGACTTGTTGCAAAAGGATTTTCACAGGTACTCAGCATTGATTTCTTTGAGACATATACACCTGTTGTCAGGCTGGACACATTCTGCCTACTCATAGCAATTGCCACTCAAAGAAACCTAATCATTCATGGAATGGATGTTGTTGGAGCTTACTTAAATGGTAGACTCAATGAATCCATTTACATGGCACAGCCATCTGAATATTCAGATGGGAGTGGAAAAGCAGCACATGTCAAACTAACATTGTATGGACTTAAGCAATCTGGCTGAGTTTGGAATGACAAATTAAATGCTACATTTTTGGGACTTGGATACATCAGATTGATCAGTGATCAATGTGTGTACATCAGACAAATGGGTTCTGGTCCCATAATCATAGCTGTACATGTCAATGACATGACATTACTTGCTCCAGATGATGAAACCATGTCTAAAATAAAAGAAGAGCTTAAGAAGAAGCTAAATGTCATAGACATGAGAGAGATTCAATATATATTGGGCATGAAGATAGACAGAAATTGAGACAAGAGCATCATCACTCTATTCCAGAAGGCATATATTCTCAAAGTACTTGAGCAAATGGGCATGAATGACTGCAAACTGGTTAAAATGCCTATGGACCCAAATGTACAGCTAGAGAAATTTCTGACAGAAGACCCATGAGGTGTTGACACAGCCACCAGGCAATATTACCATACTAGTGTCGGATCACTAATGTATGTGGCCAATGGATCTCAGCCTGACATTACACATGCTGTCACCAAACTAAGCAAGTACATGCAGAATCTGGCTGCTGAGCATGTCACAGCCTTGAAGTGAGTTTTCCACTATCTGAAGAGAACTCTAGACTTTGGAATCACATATGGAGGGACTATGGATGAGCTGATACCTTATTCAGACTCAGACTGGAGAGAAGACAGAACAGATAGAAGATCAACATCTGGTTATGTCTGTACCTATGCAGGAGCTGTTACTTGGAGTTCAAAGAAACAGCCCACTGTAGCCTTATCCACTATGGAAGCAGAATATACAGCCCTCACACACACAATCTGGGAAGTAATTTGGCTATGAGCACTCTTAACTGAATTAGGATTGCCACTATATAAAGCAATGACTATTTTTGTTGATAACCAATCAGCAATCAGATTTTCTGAGAACCCTATATTCTATGCACAATCAAAGCATATAGACATATGGCACCACTTCATTCATGAGCACATGGCTTCAAATGAAGTCAAAGTTCAGCACTATGCATCAGAAGAGAACTTAGTGGATATATTCACTAAAGGCCTACCAAGACCATTACATGAGTATCTATCTGCAGGTATTCTAGGAACTCAGAATTGAGGGAGAGTGTTGGGATAGCAATTCTGAGTGAGTACAAGAATGTACTCAAAGATACAATGCCAGTCAGCACCAGCTGACTTGAATCATGATCCAGACTTATTTAGTATCTCATAGAAAGATCTTGAAGTAATACAAAATGTATTTAAGTAGAATGTCTCTCTCTCAAGAGGCTAATTCTAATCCTCTGTACATTACTCTGCTCTCTACTTACAACAGAGAGAAGCCAGGAGGGAGTGATAAGTCAGTAAGGTGGGAGTGGAGGCAAAGGAAACTGGCTAGAGCTTCCACCAGCAGTATGACACAAAAAAATTGTACTGGGACCATGGATCTGATGCACACTCTTCCAGTTCAAAGACACATGGAGCTGTTGATGTCACAGATGCCAGAGTAAGTCATCATGTGGCAGTAGTGAGCCCTTCTGTTTTGTGGTACATTACCAATTTTGCCATTTTGCTCATATTTCTGTTAGGCCTTTTTTCTCAGTAACCAGCTTGCTGTAGCATATCCTCAATCTCAACATGATCCTGACTATCCATCAAAATCCAGCAAGGAAAAGTTTCCACCATTCAAAGGTCTTGAAGAGTGGGAAAAGTATCCAGGAGCAAAGCTCAAGGTGATCTTGAGATTGTGCAGGCACTATTTGTCTGATGACAATGTGTTTCCACCACATATCAAAGATGGTCACCTTATTTTTCCTGATCCTCCTGCAATGGTGAATGGCAATAAGAAGATGCAGCAGATAAAAATCCTTATCTTTCATGAGTTCCCTATGATGGATGAACTCATCATGTTGGTATGTAATTTGAATCTTTCTTATTCATTGCATACTCATTTTGTTTAGGCCTTCATTATGCATGGCATTAAAATCTTGTCACTGAATGGCTCTGTGAGGCTCACAGCATGTCAACAGGTGATTGAGAAATTCCTCCATCCTGATTCAGATGTTCACATGCTTCTGCTGAGCCAGGTAGGTAGCTCTGGGCTTAACCTGATGAGAGCTTCTGTCATCATCCTCTTTGTAAGTTTCAGCATTTTTGCTAGTTGACATGGCTGACTCTGGATTGTCTTTGAGAGGAGGAGAGGAACTCAGGGTGGTAAAGATCCCAATCAGTTGAGGTGCCACATGGAATTTTGTCTTTACCATAAAATTGTGGCTTGTGTTGTCTTTTTGTTGTCTTGCCTTTTTTGCTACTCACCATCTTGCTATCTCTATGTTACCACTGGTTGGACTATTTACCAGAAGCTCTTGTTTGCTATCAAAGGTTCTTTTTTCATCTTGCTATAGCTATCCTCATCCTCTGTTTTGTATGCTGTATCTACTCTACTGTCTTAAATATGTTGTTCTTTATTATGCTCACAGACATCTATTTCTCTTTTGATGTTCTTTCCAACATATAAATACATTTTCCAGTTCTCATCATTACAAATACACCTGTAGAATGGGCCACGATAACTGTAGCTAATTCATTACACGCAAGCATAGTAAGTGTAAACAGGTCTGATTTTGGCGAAAGAGAAAGATTGAACGACGTGAGCAAAACATTACAAACTTCGTGAGGAACAACAGAAGGGCGAACGCTTTTTTCTGCCCTTGCGAAATCGTATAGGATGTCAGTTCAGCGTGAACAGGTCAAGATTCGGGCATATACAATATAAAACACCAAGAAATCGCCTAGAAATAGGCCGGCGCGGACCGGCCTGACAATCGAATCGACATAGTATAAGACGAAAAACTGAGTGGTGCATGATAGATAATAACGTATAGGTTTAACCAAATTAACACCAGCTCGCTTTCTTAAACAGACGAAGAGAATGATGATGCAAACCGACGCGTCATCACTCATCACCCTACATCCTACATGTTCATCAACTAGCGAATATCAGGCCTTCGCTAGATGAGCTTTAGCCACCTCCGGGATCTTAGGATCAACTTTCCCAAAAATCTCCAACATCTCCTCCTAAACACAAACAAATCAACAATCTACCCCGCAAATGGTCCCAGCAAAAAAAAACCACTCACCCAAACCTTATCCTGCATGATCTTGCCATCCTCGCTGATCACAAAGTCACTCTCCTCCACGACTTCAGACAAGTGAATATACTTTCCCCGAAGCTTCTCCTCGTCATCTGGAGACCCCACGGCAGCATATACTAGCTGCCGGCTCCCCTCTTCTGTAGTGAACGCTAGCTCTTTTCGCATCTTTTCTAGGCGTTCGGCCTCCTCTGGAGGAGCACCAGATCCGAGGCCCGAGAAACAGAACCCGGGGTTAACAGAGTTAACGGTGATCGTTGGGACATGGGACTGCAGAGCGCGGGCAAAGAGAACATTGAGCACTGGCGAAGGTATGAGGCAGGTCCATCCATTGTGAAGAAGAGTCAACGTGTTACGCACATTTGGTATCAGAATATCGGCGTTTCATTACTCTGTTCACAGGTTAGCGACAGCGGGGGGGTAGATCATATGGATTTGGACGCACTCTTTTGTGCAATAATCCTTGTCTGACAGCTTCACGAGGATATTGGGAGAAGCGATGACGTCCTTTTCAATCGTCGTCCAATAATGCGTGTCGCTGGCGACGACCACCAGTCTTGGGTTGACGGAATGCTTGCGAGCCGTTTCGAGCATCTTGGGGATCAGATGAATAGCGAGTAATCCGGGACCGAGGTTATTTGTATGCATACTGAGATGATGGTAAGCCTTTATCCTCTGGAAGAAGATCCCATATACGTTTTCTCCCAACCTTCGACTTGTTCGTATTCCCACATTACGACACCGGCATTCTCCACAAGAATATCTAATCGGCCCAGTTCCCGTTCGGCCTTGTCAGCGAACGCGATGACGCTGCTGAAACTCGTGAGATCAATGATCCAAAGCTCCGCCTTGGTATAGCCAGTGTCCTCCTCGATCTCTGAGAATACCAGGATGAGCCGGGCTTGTAAATGTGATAAGCGAATGAAACCTACGGGCTAGAGCCTTCTTCCCCTTTGCTTCATCTCTTGAAGTCAGCACTAGCCGCGCAGGGTTCATCCTAGCGAAATGCTTCGCAGCTTCGAATCCCAGACCGGTGTTGGCGCCAATCAGGACGAGTGTCTTCCCGCTTAGGTCGGCGGTAACAACGGCGGGTGCGGGTCTAGTTTGGTTTGCGACTAATTGTTCATGGGTTCTGGGAGCCATTACGAGGGATAGTGAAGGACGAGGTCTATGCTTCCCAGCTTTATATGCGATCTTGAACCGGAGTCTGCGCTCCCATGCGTTCATGCCGATAGCCTACGCAAATGCTGATATTTATAGCGTTAGGTCCTTAGTAAAACGAGTCTTCCAAGCAGTGGCCTGTAGTGGAATGGACAGGAGATTGTTGGTCATACGGCTAGCGATATAGTATCATTTTTGTCCAGCAGTCTGATGAAAGAAATCATGGTCGCTAAACAAACAACAGCTCATGTGCTCACAACGTCTGCTGACTCTAGATCACAGGACGAATTTGAAAATCTCTTACCCTTGCCTGTTGCCTTTCACCCTCGTACTAAAGTTCCACCATCTTCCTTGGCGATGAATTAACAGTCAATTGCGCATATTATGTTTCAACTGGATCTGAAGGTCGAGAATGGGATGATGTAGAAGATTACAGGTGCGTCGTTGCCATCTTCATTGCATCGGCCTATGTTGATATCCACGTTCCAGTGCCTTGATGACCTCGTTGAAGGAACGATCTTATAGCTCATGGGTGCGTCCGTTATCTTTCGTTATTTCTTTTCTCAAATGGACTCACTTTTGCCCAGTAGTATTTATTCGCTACCATGACATCCAATTGTCAGGATGCTGCGCATCGTTCATCAACATTTCGGTACATTCCAACCAAAAAAATACAATTACGTTTGACCTTCCCTCAGCATCGGCGACGCGCGAGGAGTCGACGCGTTGTCTGCAAACGATACGGAGACTTCCGAGTCCAACCAAGCAATCGTCACCCTTCCTTTACCTACCACCATCAGCATATACAAACTACTCGCCTACCTGCCTTTCGTGATGATTTCCACTCAAGAGATAAACCTCGCCTTCACTGGTTTATAGCAAGAACAAGAGCCAAGAGCGGAGTTCCTAGCCCGACGGGGGAGATTAGTAAGCAGCGCCGTCGTTGCGACGCTTTAAAAGAACCGTCATCTCTCCAGTAGCGGGAAGGGATAATTGCGGCCACCAAGAGAAGAAGGAATGCACGGCTCGCATGCATGCCGGTCTCTCTGAATGCCCATTTGAACGAATCGGATTTCGTCACTTGGAATGAGAGGACCGAGTGCTTCCCTGGTGACTTGTTGTGTACGGAACCAGGAAGTTTTGACAGCGCGTGAGTCTCTCTTTCCTCTGTAGAGCATCTTGCTGATCCTCTCTAGTTCGCTCCTCTACCTCAATCGTCCGGATGGCGCGGTAATCATATCGTCTGTGCGTTCCCGCGTCTGCTTTTCATACTCTTGTCTGACACTCAGACAGCCATTTCTATGCATACACATGTCTATCGAGTTTTGCTGCTCAATGTAATCATTACCTCTGGGGATCTATCAGCTGTTGGAACGTGAAAGAGCACCTACGCGTTGTTGTTGAACAAGACAGACAGCTCCGTGAATAGTAGCAGCATTTCGATCCTCGATGTGTCTCTGACACGGATATCGGGCCTTCGGTTGCTGACGAACGATCTGATGTCACGTTTCATCGTCCTTTAGGTCGAAAAGGATCCGTGGCAGCAAGACGAACGTCCGACAAGTGTCCGACATTTGTCCTAGGATACGATCGCGCAGCCTACAACGGGATACGTCTCTTGGATAGGATGTCGTTTGCCTGCATGGAGTAATGTCCAAGTCGGGTCGAGCTGGGTTTTTCTCCGGGCTTGGGGCTGGAACCCGGGGATTTAGAGGGTCATGGAAATGTGTGAGCCCGAGCTGTCTCAAGGTCGAGCTTGGGTATTTTGCAGCATACAAGATGAGATAGAGATATGCTAAGTTTTGCGTTACAGCTGTTTGCATATAGCTTGGCAATAACGCGCTTATTTTGGGAGTGGGGGGGGGGGGGAAGCAGTTTGGATGTGGCAAGGCTTTGCGGACTCGGGAGTCAAATGCTCCTTGAGTTTTATGGCAGTTATGGCCATTTCGGGAACCTCAGCTCGTACTTGGTCATAAACCGGACTTATAACGCACAAAAAGAAGATTTGATAGCGAACGAGAGCTTCTGGTAAATAGTCCAACCAGTGGTAACACAGAGATAGCGAGACGGTGAGTAGCGAAAAAGGCAAGACAGCAAAAAGACAGCAAAAAGACAACACGAGCTACAATTTTATGGTAAAGACAAAATTCTGTACGGCACCTCGACCGACCGGGATCTCTACCACCCCGAGTTCCTGTCCTCCTCGTGAAGGCAATCCAGAGTCAGCCATATCATCGGAGAGGCCATGCGCGCTCCGCGCTGCGATGTTCTTCCCGACGAAGCGAACACAGGTGCATGTGGTGCTCTAGCTCCCGGGGTGGCGGTGTGCATGTAGATGATACCCTGTGATGGGTAGATGATGAAGCAGCACTGGATGAAGGAGAGGGAAGCCGGGAGGGAGCGACGAGTCGGTAAGGTGGGGGTGGGGTCAAAGGGAACCGGCTAGAGCTTCCACCAGCAGTACGGGCCTGTGATTGCAGCCATTGAGCGGCGTGCTTGATGCCGCAGGTGTCTCGTGCCTTCTTGTGGAGTGAGGAAAGCCTTCGGTACTGTTGAGGCGGCTGTGGGGCGCGATACCACTGCCGCCGAGGGCGAGAAGAATCGCGATGAGGTTCGGGTTCATGGCTGGGGAGTGCCGAAGTGGGTGTGGTGATAAACATGGGCAGCGTCGATGTTCGTGACAGAGGAGCGGTTGGCGGGAGCAGGAACTTGTCGACGGGGGGTGGGGGAGGGCTGAGTAGCACCGGCGGAGGACCGACGATGCCCTCGGGTCCCTTGACGACTTCATGGCAGGGCTTGTGTGGGTCGGTTCCAGGGCGGAGGTTCCATGTCTCTGTAGGCCGGTGTTCGACTCGTCTGTGCTCAGCGAGTTTGGCGGCATCCGAAAAGCGTCGGTACGTCGGCCTACAGTCGAAGCACATAAGGTGCTCGACTTCGGAGCTGAGATATCAGTGGTAAGTACAGCTATTATGGAAGACAGAACATTGGACGACTCACTGCTTAGCCCGAATGTGAGCTTTTAGGTTGCTGAGTTGCAGGCTGCTGAATGGGCAACCCGACTCAGTGCTCGGGCATGGGAACCTTCTGTGTCGGAACCATTGTCAGAGAAGAAAGAGAAAGATATAATGCATTTCTGACTGTTGTCAAAGGCTCGCCTGTGAGGTGAGTCTTTTCGTGTCGTTGGACGTCGTGCTTCCTTGTCATTTTCACCCTGCATCCAGAATACGTGCAGGCATAGATCTGTGGGTGCTTAGCTTGAAGGCGCTGGAGTAAAATAAAGGTAAGTAAAGAAACAGGCGTAAGAGCAAAAATAAATTGTCTGACCGCCATGGGAGGGATCAGGAAGCAAGGGTAGGTGGGAGGAAAATGTCAGAGGGTGTTCTTGCAACGATCCAAGTTGAAGAATGACTTTAAACCTGGTAACCTGTGAACCAGTGCTGGATCGAGATTTTCAGCCATGTTCTCCTGCGGAAGACGCCGCAACGGCTGGTTAAACTGTAATCAAGATGGGAGCAGGACAGAACCACCCAGGAACAAGGTCCGACATTGTCTTTGTTCTGGCCTAACGACTCTAATACTTACAACTACAGACGGAGAGAAACACACTATGAACGGGACGTGAAATGGGGAAAACCCAGAAGAGTGGCTACTACCTGTCGGAGATGATCCTTTTTTGGATACAAAGTAGAGTTTTATAGCGTGTGCATGGTCCAGAGTCGTCGCAAGATTCATCGATAATGACAGCGTCTTTTAAGTGACAAAGTGCTCAGACTGCCAAAAAATTCGATGCTTCAGCGAGATTAGTACTGAATGGAAAAAATTCGATATTAAGACCACCTTCCGGATCAGCGCAGACTGAACAACTACCATGTGATATATATCATTCACTGAATCTCCGCAGCATCGTCGAGATTGAGCTGGAATCTCGATTCGAGTCCTCGTTGATGATCACAGACATTTGAAATGCATGGACGCATTAAAAAATTGTGGGACGCGAACAAACGACGCACTCAGTACAAATTTAAATGGAACAGGTCGTAATATCCTCGTCAGCCCCATCTGTCTAAAGCCGCAGGAAATTCGAGCCGTCGAGGGGCAGCAGTTCGAGGGTGAAAGTTGACGCGAAGATTGTCGGCTCACGTAATCATTCCTTCCTTACCACGATGACGACACGCTCAGCGGCGGCTTCATTCACTTGTTGGAGGAGCGTATCTCTGCTTGGACAGACAGAATCCCGGACGCTATACAAGCAATATTTCGCCAATGGTCCTGATTTTGGCGCGTAATTGACCTGGGGCCAAAGACGCGGTGTCGTTTAAATATGATCACGAGACCGTGCGTCATACAAACAATTTCAAAAAATGTGAACGCCTCTTTTTCTTCCTTTCAGTGGCAAACTTTCCCCTTCGTTTATTAACATTCTCTGCGAAATCTTGGGTCAATCCTATATCATCGACAAATGAGAATATCTCGGATGCTGGGGGCTAGTTCTTTTCAGTCCCTGCTGATATCACCTCCCTCTTGACCAAGTCGTGGGGGGCTGACATATAATGTGCATAGGGGAGTATGTAGAAGAGTGCCTCCTACATGAAGATATCTCACAAGAGCATGCCTGTGCTCCCAATTCTGACCATGATCCTTTCCTCTGGTTGGCAGTACCGCGCAGGTGTGTTTTGGTGTGCCAAAGTTATCACTCGCATGTGAGCAATGTATTGTACGCGACGTGTTATTTGACGGGCCCGTCTCGCAGTTTTGTCTTCCTGTCTTGTTTTTGGAATGAGAGAGGCATATAAATGATGGACAAGGTGAGCCTTCACTGCAGTAGTCAACACCACATGGCATTTGCACACCTCCTTGCTGTTCTCTTCTCTCTTTCCGTTGTACGTCAGTCCGACGGTATTGCTTAGCCTTCTCTGCTTGCGATGACTCTAATGGACTTTATCTAGCTGCCCTCACCAAGCGAGTGGCATGCGCCGATGGTATTCACACCGCCACCAATGAGGCTTGCTGTGCCCTATTCCCCATCATGGACGACACCCAAGCGAACCTGGTCGATGGAGAAGAGTGCGGAGAAGACGTCGGAATTCTTCTTAGTCTTGCCTTCACTGATTATGGGCGGCATTGGTATTTAGGTACACGAGTCGCTTCGTTTGACCTTCCACGATGTAATCGTGTCTTCTTTTACTGAAGGGTGAGCTCTATTTCTACTTTTAACTTTTAAATGACACCTGATGTCTTGGATAGTGGTGGTGGTGCTGATGGATCCATCATCATCTTCTCCGATATTGAAACGAACTTTCACGCAAACATCGGCATCGGTACGGTCATAATAATCGTATTTCTTTGAAACTCGTATTCATGGACTTTTTATCTAGACGAAATAGTGGAAGAACAGAGGCCTTTTATTGCTCCCCACAACATTACTCCAGGAGACTTGTACGACATTTAATACTTTCCAAACTATGATATTCTGAAGATATCTTCAATCCCATGGCAGACGACGGATCCGCAGACCAAGGGATGGTCGCAAGCAGTACGTTGCAAACACCCTTATAAGTTGCTAATTCCTTTACTGCCACGTCCCCCCGCATATAAACACGCCTCGTCAGATTCCTCAAGACCATTCCACGCAAGCTTCAGGTGTTCCAAGAGCGTATCTGCTCGTGTCTGCCCCCAATGTGTATAATGTCTGTTTTTCCTCAGAAACAGGGAAGTCGTTGATTTCGTCAAGTTCTTCGTATGGGAGGTGGGGGATGGGTTTGACGTGAAGCTGCTGAGTGCGGTCGAGAATGACGAGGAGGAATGGGAGGACGTAAATGAAGACTAGGTTTGCTCTTAGTCGTAACTTATGTATTCCACCATGTACCTGTTGTTTAGTTTCTAAGTTGGCAAGCGCTAGGCGTAACCGATTACTGACACTTAGGGTTCACACAATTAAGTGGAGATGGCAAAGTAAGTCAATTCGATATCTGTTCAGGTGCATTGATACAATAAATCTATACTAGCTACTTTGTCTAGAATCTTCTAGCTAAGTCAGGAAATTTGGGGAGATTGAGAAATTTCTGTAACTGCATCGAAAGGGAAAGAAATAAAAGGAAGTGGAGGCTCACTCATACTTAGTCATCATCCATAACAAGGCTGAGAGGAGCTCGACTCTTTGAAGGTTTGTTGCGACTCGATTTAATGGATATTGAGTAATGATTTCTATCAGGACTTTTTGGGTAGGGTGTAATACGTTGACCTGAGCACGTTTTGTCTCTCGAAAGTCTGGAAACAAAGGATGTAACATGTAACGAGGGGGTTGGTTTCATCCTCGGAGTGCATTACCCACCCAACTTTCAGCCAACCTGACAACCAACAGCACATATCCTCTTGTAGCATTTTGCAAAGTATTGAATGCAATTCGACGTAGAACATGAAGGCGTTGCCACCGATGCAACGAAAATCTGTACGCCTAATAACTAAAAAGTACAACCAGTGAGGTAGGTTCAAGGTCTATCGCGAAAGAAACATAAAAAGTTCATCCTTCATTTGGTGTAAGCATTAGTCTTGCCACACCATTCGGTTTGGACCTTCAATGCCAGAGGAGCATCGAGCATAGGCATCAGGACCTCGACGAGTTGGATCTTGCTGGCGCTGGAAAACTCGGAATCATCTAAGAGATTCATCAATTCCTCCTTAGTATTGACAATATAGGACATTGAGCGCGTCCCATCAAGGTCACCGAAAGTTTCAAGAAGTGATGTCCATTTCCAGTTCGTAATGTCATTGTATTTTCTGGGATTGTTTGCTTAGGTTGCGCGCAGGAGAGGAAAGAAAAAGTACGTACCGAGTTTGACCATGGACGTACCGTTCGATGGTATAGCCACTGTTGTTCAAGACAAAGATGATGGGCTTGAGGTCTTCGCAAATCATAGTCGACAGCTCTTGTGCGGTGAGTTGACTAGGAGGTTGCAGTCGATGTTTGATCTGGAAAAGATCAAAGAGTACTCACAGACTACCGTCACCGACAAAGAGAACGACACGACCAAGGTCCCTATCTTTCGTAGCTAACGCAGCCCCAAGGCAGCTTCCTATAACGGTATCAATATATGTCTGAAAGAAGGAAACGATTTGAAGCTCACCAACAGACCAACCGATACTTCCCCAGAAGAACTGGTTAAGTAAAATTGAATCATCAGGCAACGGAACGTCCAAGATACCGAAAATTGGAGTCCCTGAGAACGAAAATTGATCTAAGAATACACATGAAGAAAGTTATGCTTACCAGTCTCTGCGACAATAACATCCTTTGGCTTAAAGAATTTGGCCATTGTGGGCCAGAGCCAAGAATGGGGAGATGACGTCGTCGTCTTCCTGAGGTACGACAGCATGGAAACGCGGAACATCGTACTTGAGTGCTGCACTCCGATAGGACTGCAGTCTTCTGGTCAACTTTGGGAGCAGGTATTTCATGCCGATACCCGCATAGTTGGAATACTGGACTTTAGTCCAAGAGGAGTGCAACTACATGAAGGATAAACAACACATGCAATAAGATGCAAAAAAAAACATATACCTCAACGGTGTGCGCAGTTGGGATACTATAAGTGAAATTGCCACTGTTAAAGTCACTCTTCAAGCTGCCAAGAGATAAAATGAGCTTTGCCGACTCGATCTTCTCCTTAATCTCGGGGTGACTAATCGCTCCGACGTAAATCTACGTCGAAAAAGTCAGTAAGTGCGCGGTATCTTCAGAGGCAAGAGTATACCCACGCCTCCGAAACGGTCCCAACTCTCGTTTACAGCCGTCTTCCCCATAGGCGCAGCGTAAACTGGGAATCCGGTCGTCCTAATTAGCTCCTTTGTCTCTGCGCGTGCATAGTGTCTGACAACACACGCATCAAGGAGAACAACCACATGTCCCTCCGCCTCCTTCACGAGTCCCTCAATTTTGTCCAAGACAAATGCCTCAACTTCTGGCTCGTTCGGTGGCGGAGTACCGGACAAAGGTATTTTAAGACGCGCTGAGGATATCTTATCGTAGACGATATCCGTGGGCAGGGTCAAGTAAACAGGACGGGCCTGAATAATGACCAGGTTAGATCTTTGGGTCGACCGCATATCACCATATCACCTTTGTCATACATTCAGTGAGGAGGTTATCAATTCCAACCGCCGCCGTGGCCGCATTGGTGAGGTATGCATGCGCTACACTGAACTGCTCAGCAACCTTCATATTAGCATCATACCTGCACAGGCTTAACCGCATGACAGTCAAAGGAATCAAGAAACTTGCCTTCCATCACCGAGGCTGATGAAGCATGGGTTTGGTCTTCTGCTGGGCAGTGCTGGGGACACCTACAACATGAAGAACAGGAACCATCTCGGAGAAAGCTGAACAAAGGTAAGGACATGCTCTCAGGACCGCTGTAGCAGACAAAGCACGTACCTCCTGCGATGCCATTGGTTGCTGATAGCTCTCCAACACCAAACCTACAAAGATGGTATTGGAAACGGCGCGTCGCGATAGCGGTAATAGAATACTCACGTCGTCAATACGACACCGATACTCTGCTCTTTCACGCGGGCAAATCCGTCTGCTGCATAGGCCGCGTTTAGTTCATTACTATCAGAATAGGTTAGGTCAGGCGCTCATTCACTAGAATGAGTTGTGTACCAGTTACCAACCCAATCGATGATGGGGTGATCCTCTACCAGGTCCTAGATACCGCATAGTCTGTGTACCGAAGAGATCAAGCGAAATATGGGTCTCACCAAGAAGCCCAAGTTGAAGTCTCCAGGAAGACCGAACATGGACTGTATCGCAAGATAAGCGATGCTACGATGAGAACATTGGCGAACCGACCGTGACGCCCAGCTGCTGCAACCTGGCAAGTAGGTATTGTCCAACGTATATCTGTTCTGAACCATCTTCGACCCTGCGAGCTTGGAGCTCGAGCTTGAGGCGGTCGACCTCGGTCTGGATAGCAGTATCTGTCGAAGAGAACATGGTGGTACAATTGAGAGAGAATGATGATGATCACACTCTGTCTCGAGATTATATACGGATCCGGGCTAAATAGAACGCGAAGAACCGAAGCAGGGCAGTAGCATGGCTCGGTGACGATTAGTGACGACAATAGGATGTGGTAACCAAAAGGTCAGGCCTCCATTGTTCCAGACACATGGGAGTAGCGGAGCATACATAGAGTGCATGTAACTAGTTGCATGTCAGATAACTCCAAGAGGCTTGCCTGGCACCAGCTTTAATTTTGACAACGATGCACACGGACCCTGTTCCACCAATCAAAGCCTGATGGGCCTCGGAAGGGTCCCGAGCACCTAGATGGGGCGGTATGATAGTTAGAACATTGAAACAACAGAGATAATCGGAGACATACATCAAACGACGGACCTAAGAGGGGGATTGAGGGAAATCCTTATTCCTCTTGCGAGTGAGATTCCAGAACGATACGAGCTTTCCTGGAATCAAGACTCGGGTGTAGGTGGGTGGGTAGCGAATTTGGCTCTGGTTATGCTGACTGCAATCTCTCGCTCGTTTAGTCGCCACCTTATGTGCGCTGCCCTGACTGGCTCACAACATCCAGCTGCCTAAGCCGCTTCGGAACTTGACGGACCTAAGAGGGGGATTGAGAGAAATCCTTATTCCTCTTGTGAGTGAGATTCCAGATACGAGCCCTCCTGGAATCAAGACTCGGGCGTAGGTCGGTGGGTAGCGAATTTGGTTCTGGTGATACTAAGTGCAAGCGAGAGATGTACCTTATGCGCGCTGCCCCCGCAGGCTCGTACTGCTCACAATGTCCAACGACGTAGACGAGACTGGTACTACCTAACGTAACGAAAAAGTCAACGTAGCCTCAGAAGCGCACGTTCAATCCAGATTCGGGCTACACTTACCGCAGCATACACATAAACATAAATGTCAAAGAAAATAAAAGGCGGCAACCTCGGGGAACTCGACAGAGTCAGGCCGCCCGACGAATAATTATATTGTAGGAAATTGTAAGGAGACTCGGCTTCAAATAGTCATTGAGGATTCCGCTGTAACTGTTGCAAAGCTATTGCAACATGTTGTTCAATGTTGTTATGCCGCTATCTGTCGTCCTCCATGGGGCACACCTTGAAGGTTGAAAGAAACACAGCCATAGTCTGGCAAGCCGCTTTATAGATACTCGCAGAAGTCGCACCTGCATATAAAGCCTAGTACCCGGGGCGGGGGCTATACTGGTAATCGAAATGTTTGCTATTTTCAAACTCCGCGAGATGACGCCATCTGCCGAGCAGCTGCCGACAGTGTAATATTGCTGACACATACCTCTAATTATATAGTGAAGCTCACTCAATATATAGCTCTCTGGGCTCCTGTATTTTCAACTGAGTCTTTAGAAAGCCAGAGCAGTCTTTCTAGCAATGGGCCTAATCCTATCCAAAATGTAGTTGTGAATATTATGAGAAAGATTCTGCTGAATCAATTGTCTAGCCAGTTTGAGCTCAGCTGGAGCTGAAATCCATTGGGGATTGACTTTTACAGTACCAGTGTGATTGGATTTGGTCATTGAGCATGTTCAACATGCAGACATGGAGTGTATCAACAAGACAGAAGCAAAAATGCATTGATCAATGAGACATGATTATGGTTAAGATATCAACCCTACCAGTGTACTCTGCACCCTGAGTCTCAGAATAACACAGCCACAAGTCCTGATGTGCATCATGTGACTACACATTGATGAGCCTTCTTCACCAGACATATTTGATTGTCAAGGCTCTATTAATAGCCTCTGGTATGTCATAGTCTAGACTCTGCACTGCCATCACACTCAATTGGACTATGACATTATGATTGATGCAAAGCCTACATGACTGCCAATAAAATACTTTATGAAAAAATAAGTCAGCTGCAGTAATATTTACTAAGGCTATTACTTCAATCCATCAGCAGAAGCTGGCTTCATAAGGAATGTAGAGAAAAACCACTGCATAGCCTTATAGCACAGTATTCTATTACTGCTGTGCTCTGTTTAGTGTTAGTAAGGAAAAGACTAAGAATACTTTAAGTACTTTGCTAGCAGTATGAATTAACATGACAAAAACAAATATAATCTATGCCTTACTTACTAAATAGTAGTGTAAAAAGTTAATAAAGTGGTAGAACTAAAAAAAAACCATACACAGATATTAGGCTTTCACTAACACTCACAAATCTCTAGCACTGCTTCTTTCAGGGTCCAATTATAGATGCTGAGTCTGGGTCTGGTTTTGATATAGAAGCATGATGAGATAAGCTATAAGAATTTTGTGGAGAGGGATGGAGAGTTGTAGCTGGTAGATATAGTCTGCTATTATAGCAAGAGTATTCACACCAGATAGTCAGAGAGTGTAGTAGATGTATTAAACTTTAGCTTAAGACTAGGATACATCAGTGTGTACTACTGTCTTATATACTGTCTAAAGAACCCTATGTCCTACAGATGACTATTGTCTGCTTTGCATGCTCTCTGCTCATTGTCTGAGATAACAATAACTGTGCCCTTGCTTTTGTTTGTTATTGTCACTCTGCTGTATCATCACTATAGTGAGTTTTCCATATGCTACAGTTTCTATTGTATTCAAGATGTGAAATGGCAATGATTACCATATTGTTCCTTATCATCTTATTGTGTATTGATAAATAAGGTGTAGCTATAGTGTCATCATGTCTTCATCATCAAGCATTGGCAGGCCATGATTTAGGGGTAAAAATCATGACAACAGAGATCTGACTCCACACATCTACAGAAACCAAAGAAATTCATAAGTGTTAGACCCAAGCATCATGTGAGCACAACCACATGATAAATAGAAGCTATCTCACACTTTAGGTAGTCATCTGAGTCCACTGATGTGATCTGCAGTCAGTGTGTCACAAGGCCAGGAAGTAAGCTTGAGGATAGAATGATATGTATAAACTTTAGCTCAAAGCTGGAGTTTTCCAGTGAGAGCAAGCCTCCTTAAATATTGTACATGGTCTGCTATCAATACATTATACTTATTGTGTGTCTTTTTGTCCTGGTTGCCCATTGTTCTTGAGCATTGTTACTATACATAAAAGATTGATTGTGCATTTGTCATTAGGTGTCAATTGCATCAAGGAATCATAGTGAAGTTGGTCTGTTGTGATAACTAAGGTCTTTCCATAGTTCCAAGTGCTGGTTGTTTGACATCTTGACTAAGCATAAATAGGGGTTTTTGATAAAAGAAATGAAAAAATGGTAACATTACCCCCTCCTTAAGACCATCGTCCCAATGGCTTAATTTAGGGATATTTCATAGTTGTGGATAGCATCATCAGTGTTCATCATCTTTTCATTGACCCACTGATTGGACTCGGAGCCATAGCCTTTCCAGCTGATAAGATAATCGACTGTTGTTGTTGTTCCCCCACCTTTTGCCTTGACTTTGCACAGTTTATAGTTTAGAATCTGATTGATTTCATAGTGTTCCTCATTGTCGATCAGGTTGAGTGGTGGTAGTGGAGGTTTGTCCTGATTGGGGAAGGCTGGCACGATGTAAGGGAATAATAGAGCTTTATTGAAGACATTATGGATTTTCCAGTTTGTTAGGAGTCAAAGTTTGTATGCACTCACCTTGACTTTTATGAGGATCTGGAAGAGGCCTGTTCATTTGTCAGTGAGTTTCTTTTTAGGGCACTCTAGATGTAGGTTGATAGTGTCTAACTATACTTTGTTGTTAACAGAGTATGCTTGCACCAGGTGATGGTGTTTGTTGTATTGTGCCTTCATAGAGGTTGCAGCACACTCTAATGCTGTTTTGGTTTCACTATGGATTTTGTCATTGTGAAGGCAAAATCCATGGAGGCAGATGTGGTAGGTCATAGCCATTCAGTGTTGGGTGATGTTTGGGTGCCACCCATAGTTGATGAAGAATGGGGTCTTCTCTGTTGCTGAATGAATGTGGTTATTGTGTTGGAAGGCTGTGAGGGCCAATTATTCCACCCAGTCATCTTGCTGGTAATTGATGAACAGTCAAAGATACTTCTTGATCTCCTAGTTGACATGTTCCATCTGTCCATCAGTCTGTGGATAGTATGCAGTTGATGCATTGTGTTTAATGTGTAGGAGTCAGTAAAGGTCATCTAAGAATTTAGAGACAAATTGTGGGCTCCTGTCTGTGTTACGATTTATTTTCTTTTCTCTCCTTTTTACCCCTATTTACGCTGAGTCAGAAGGCACAAGACCGTGGGAAGCTTAGTCAGCACAACTAAAGACTCCCATCAAGACAGTATGACGGTCACGCTCGACGACACACAATCGACCTTTTATGTACGATAACGATGCTCCAGGACAATGAGCACAATGGACGTAGACACACATAATAGGCAGTAGTATAATTAGCAGACAACTGTACAGTATTTAAGGACAGCAGCTCTTGCTGGTATACCCCAGCTTCGAGCTAAAGTTTATACACACCATTCTACCTCGAGTCTACACTTGACCTTGAGTCACACACGAACGGGCATACTCCAGTGAACTCAGGTGATTCCTCGAAGTGCGAAGGAACACCTGTTTATCATGTGTGTCCATTCACGTGACGCTTGGGCCTAACAATTAGCTCGAAGCATCCACCTTCCCTTTCTCAAGCCCAATTGTGCTGAGAAACCGAATGCCGCCAGTAACCACCGCAGACCTAAACCACGACTTCTTCGAGTTAATAGCTTCCATCATCGGAACATTACTCGGTCTCTTAGCCATCATCACCCTTTGCCGTGGATGACAATCAGTAGCAGCTTGGATAGTCAGGCACTATCAAGCATTTCAGCAAATTCAACGAATTCTATGCAATGTAACCCCCGACCTCCCTTTCCATGACATCCCCCCTTCCGTCAGAATGTCCTTCTTCCCGCAAGGGGGACCCATACCAGAAACCGGGGATAGCGACCTGGATCAGAGGAGCCTTCACGAGGAGGAAGGACCAGAACGCCCCCAACGAC